TCCATGCTTTTCTGTAGCAGTATTGAAAACCAAACTTTACTTGTTTGAAAAATTACACTTAGTCTAAAATATTGGTGTCACATGAACTTTTGTTGTTGAGTATATATTGTCCAAGAAAATGCATGAAAAAAAGTAAATTATGAAAAAAGTATCTGCAACAAGAAATGCGTTGTTGAAAGATTGCCCAAATCCCATGAATCGGCATTTCACCAACGAATTTTTTCCTTCAGAGACAAGTTCCTTTAACTTTTAAAACCACTGAGAAGTTAAAGACAAATACAGAAGTCAGTTTAACTTAAACTCAGGAAAAGCTGATAATTTACAAAACATTGGTAAAGCTATTCAGCTATTGAGATTCGAGGAGGTGGAGACAAAAATGGAGTCAGAAATCCTGAGGATTCAACTTTATAAAATAATGCAGATTTCTCTTCCGAGATGGGTGAGCCACAGTGAGAAAACGATGCTTCAAATGAGCTGACGATTCAGATGACAAGAAGATCAGAAGAGCGGAGCTTACAGCAGTCCGGAATATTAAACAGAAGAGAACAAAGCGTGTTCCATAATTTCTTTAAGTAGGTCAAATCGGAGGTCGTCCATTTTCGCCTGTGCAGCCTTACGTGTAGGATAAAGTACGAGGCCGAGGTCATGATTGGAAAAGTAAGGACCTCAGTGCGAAGGAAGTGTAAAAGTAAGACCGAAGCGGGAGGTCTTACTTTTACACTTCCTGAGCAATGAGGTCCTTACTTTTCCAACCATGACCGAGGACGAGTACTTTATCTGACATATGAACCGTCAAATGAAAAGATTACATTTTAATGATCAAATAAAACAGTATCCTTCATCCAAGTACTGCCGGTCCTAACACTGCATTGTTTATACCGCGCTGGGTGGTACCCAGCTGGTATATCGAGGAGCATTGTCTAATTTTAAAACAGCGCGCACGGCCGCACGTGCTGCACGGAATTTTCGTTACGCGGCATCACGTGTCCTGTTAGAACATTCATTTGACGGAGACACGATGGATGAGGCAGACAGCGACAGAGGACTGTTCATAACCCAGTCCAAAACCGTTGAAAAGAGTGATGAAGCAGAGAGTGACGATGACTTTTTCTTTCGTTTCAAGGAACCTGGAGAGATGTTATGTCCGCCTTTATAAAAAAAATACAGGCTTCTTTGGTAAGATTTCTTTTGAAAAATGGTAAACAATGAATCGTTTGTAAAATGGTTTATATATATGTACTAATCAGCGTCGGTCGAAAAAAAGAATGAATGCAGTCATATGTTATCGTAGTACTTATGTTGTATATCAAGTCATGCTGTAAGTGTCGATGGAAATTCGAAAATATTCCAAGATGTTTATTTCTTTTACTGCAGTAAGGCAGCAGGCGAGGAAACTAATGCATTCTACTTCACAGCACTGAAGAAACTGTCTATATTACCACTCTAAATACTGAACTGTACAGTTTGGAGAATGTATTTATGCAGCATGTATGTATAACTACTATTTAAATGCATTCTCACTTTGGAGGATTGGAATCTGTTGTAATTTAATATAATAGATTGAATTTGGTTCTTCAGTTTAATACTTTATTTTAGTGAATTTCAGGTCACCGCAGTGAAGCCGTTCGGGTGTACAAGAGGTCTTCAGATGACCAAAAGGCATCAGTTTCCGACCTGTTATGCGTTATTCCCGACAGAAAGAGAAAAGTTGATTCTGAACCAACTGCTCAAACTTCTGAACCAGAATCAAATGTTTCTGTTAACTGTGGAAAATGCAAAGACAAGCAGTATTCGTTAACTATTAATTTCAACTGAAATAAAGAATTGTTGAAAAATGTTGAAAAATTTATTTTTTTGTTGAAGGATTAAGAAATCAGGTATCTGAAACGGGCTCCGATTTCTCGAAACAAACTTGAGAATTCTTACTCAATTTTTTTCTGACTAAATTTCTCTACATGTTTCCAACACTAAAGTCTGATTTCAACCTATACTGTAACTTTGTACAAAATATCACACTGAAGCGTTCATGTGGGCTAAATTTGCTAATGTCGTAAATCCGGTTTTGAAAACTTGGTTTGTTTCGAAATCAGGGCAGGGTTTTACTTTAAACAGTAAGACCCGATAAGAGGTCTTACTTTCAAAAGTAAGACCCGGTAATAAGTCTTACTTACAAAAGTAAGACCTGCTACTGGGTCTTACTTTTAAGAAGTAAAACCTCCAACTCAGCAAGAGGTCATTACATGAAATTCGAGTACCTCCAGTATAATTGGACATATCAGTGATAGGTTTATATTGGCTTCTAACGTTCGAACTATCCAGCCAGTCAAATGCATACCAGAAAAGTCCTGACCAATGCGAACTTGAAAAAAAACTTTCAGGAAGGAACGAGCGAATCCATCTAAACAAGTTTAACTTTCATTCCTATATTTGAAAAGAAGTCCTTGTCTCCAGATCATATCATATCCTTTTTGAATATCGAGGAAGACGCACAACATTTACTCTTGATTGCATAAAGGTCTGAAGTCGCTATATCGTAGCAACTCAGTTAAGAGTTACCTCCCGTCAGCTGATATCTTCTTGCCCAGCACACAAACTGAAGGTATTGTCCCGATAACTTGCTGGTGATGTGTACACGCAATGAATCTATTCTCCGGCACAGATAACAACACAGTCTCGTCATTGTAATTACATTTATTGTGTGTGAAGATAACGAGTGAGTTAATGAAGCTGTCTATTAAAAGTTTATAAAACACGCCCTTGTGAAAATATACTTGCGAATATAATGGCATATGTCTGGATTAGAATGTTGCGATATGAAGTTATTTAAAGCCACGTTCGGGACCTGATTTGTTATCGGCCCGACACAGTTTCATGATGAGTTTATTTAAAGTGCACTGACCTCTGTAGATTGAGTTGGGCCCTACAAAAGGACGTAAACTGCCGGGCAAAGAAAGTATACACCCATGTTTGATGGTGGATAAATGATAAAGAAACAAGAAATGGTTATTCGATGGTGGTGGATTTAAAACGGGTATACCAGGTTTGTTTTTGACCTTACGTTTGCAGTGCTACGGCGACTGTTTTCAGCCTGGTAACGTTTTGATAACGTTTTATAATTTTGTGGTCACATCCAATTTTCAAGTGTGTTCTTTCTTTTGCCAGTTTATTCCCATTTTCAAAATTTAACCTAGTAATCAATATAAATTTAAAATATTCATGGCGCATTTCTCGTCTCAATCCTACAAATCACCTCAGCCAGCACAGTATCCTATCCATGTTGGTAATCAGTTGTGTTTACGAGCGCTACACATAGAATTATATTCATTTTGTTTCAATTTTTCCCATTCCCTGAATTTAACACAGATCCTTTTTTTAAATAATCGTGGCGCATTTCTCTTCTTATTCTATAAGCCATTTGGAAGCACGGGTGGCCCAGTCGTCTAAGGCGCCGCAATTCGCTGTGCAGAGTTGCGTCCCTTGGGCACGCCAGAAACCTATGATTGTGGGTTCGAATCCCGGTTGGCACCGATTATGTTTCTAGGTTTGTCAGAACTATACCCGTGCACGTGGGTTTCACCGAAGTGGTAAACGTCTAAGACCTGCATCACTTCGGGCTTTCCTCCCACATTAAGCTGACACGCCGTTAAAAGCGGCGTTAACGACAACTCACTCACTCACTGTAAGCCACGTCGGTCAGAATAGTGTAAAATCCTTATTGATGACTAGTTTTGTTCATGTGACTTTCTTGGAGCACGGGTGGGGCAGTCGTCGAAGACACCGCCATTGACCAATGATCGTGTGTTCGAATCCCGGTTCGTCCTGATTATGTTTCCAGGGTTGCTAGCAGCCAACTCGTGCTCGCGGGTTTCGCCAAAGGGAAAAAATCTTAAACGTGTAAGCATCACTTCGGAATTTCCTCCCACATCAGGGGCGGTCGGGTAGCCTAGTGGTTAAAGCGTTCGCTCGTCACGCCGAAGACCCGGGTTCGATTCCCGACACAGGTACAATGTGGTGTCCCCCCGCCGTGATATTGCTGGAATATTGCTAAAAGCGGCGTAAAACCATACTCACTCACTCACTCACTCACTCACTCACTCACTCCTCCCACATCAAGGTGACAAGCCGTGACACAACTGAAATACTGTTGATAGCGGCGATAAACGGAACTCACACACTCACTTTGGCACAATGATAATAAGCGGTTTTCAAATGGATGACATACTATACGAATTAGGGAGAGGCCTTGAAGTACAAGGGTTACATTTAGGTGAAGATATGTAACATCACTTCAAAAATGTTGCACGAGGTGGTATACAGATAGCGTAATGTACCGAGTTGACCCAAATGGCATCATGGATCTAGTATGGTGGACGCCCCGGTTTTATTAATGTATCAAGCAGAAATGAAAGACTATTTTCCTTTGTCTCAATAATATAATCCACGGGCATTTTCAGCACGTACTGGCCACATCTTCACAGTTACGGCGATAATGCGCTCATGTGTTACTGATAAACCGTCTGGCATCCGTCTATGAAAGTATCCACCTTAGAACAATTTGGAGGGGACACGGGTGGCCCAGTCGCCTAAGGCGCCACGATTCGCTGTGCAGAGTTGCGTCCCTTGGGCACGCCAGAAACCTATGATTGTGGGTTCGAATTCCGGTTCGTCCCGATTATGTTTCTAGGTTTGTCAGCACCATACCCGTGCACGTGGGTTTCACCGAAGTGGTAAACGTCCGAGACCTGCATCACTTCGGGCTTTACTCCCACATTAAGCTGACACGCCGTGATATAACTGGAATAATGTTAAAATCGGCGTAGTCCAACTCACCTACTCACACACTCACTCACTCATACAATTGGGAGAAAGGTTCAGTTAAACCAAACACCATAACATTCATTGGTATTCGTGAAAATAGCTATTCAAATAAATTAGCGCATAAACTTAGAAGTGAACAGAAAATAGTTTAAAATATTCAAAAACCTAAAATAAAATGTATATTTACATGTTGTATCCTACTTTTATTTACATTAAGATGGAGAGCAAATAAAGACAAGTGTGATGCATTACACACGGCATGCACCATTGTTAATTAGCTGCTCGCATTGACTTCCTGATTCCAAGCACATGGGTAACCCATTGACAATCTTCCTTGCTATAAACCATATACCTTCCTATGTGACGTCATGTAGTCTGTGACCCCACTGCTTTACGTCATATATCTGGCACATATATGTCAATGCGATATGAAATATATCTGCTCTTATGAGTGATTTAATTAGGAGATAAACGTAGTGTGTTTACCATATAGGGGTTTCATTCGAAACCAAACGCGATGGCATTGAGATTTCGAATTTGATAAATTTACAGGTATCGAAAACGCATTTTTTTTATCTCTATTGTTCCATGACACAATGACAAAACAAACTCTTTGGTTCTAAGGAAACGATTAGTGATGATGCATCGGTAGACCCTAATATATTCAGTCGGTTGAAAGATGATGTGGATCAGGGATGAGTGGTCAGTATTTATACACATACGTTTTTCATTTTTGTACTCAAACCATAATGTTGACTAAAATACCCGAACCACTTCGATGAGACATAATAACATCACGTTGGCCGATAATCTGTCAGCATTATTCAAACAAACATCCCTAGAGAACTTTCTTCTAAAGTAAAGCACATATTGTGACGTCATACAATTTTACACATGGGAAGTCTAAGCATTGTGACGCGATGGACATGACGTCACAGTGTATGGTTTGCTAGCGCCAAGCCGTGTTGATTAATGAATTTTACAATACACTCTCTAATTAGTTGATCAAGTTTCCTACCTGAAATAAATTGCCACACTTGCTGCGAATAATGTAGGAACCACAACATCGTAATTAGCAACGTGAAATAAGTTATATCAATATTTGAACGGGCTGATTTGCGAAAGATGTGCTTATGAATAAATATTTTCTTGTGCGGTGATGAAGTCATCCGCAAAATCATGATTCAATAACGCAGGCACACCAATAAGAATCCAGGATTCTAAACTGCCATGGTAGAAAAACTCGTGATTGATGAACATTTACGTTTTATGTTAAATGTCAATAATGATCATGAACGCAAACCAGTATTCAAGCCAGATCGTCACACACAGCGTATACGAAAGAACCCTCTCAAAATAGATCGAATACCCAAGTCCACCATACATCTTTACCCTCTCAATACCCATAGCACATGTCTTCGAGTTCTTGATGCATATGTACCCTATATGTACCCCTTTGTACCCTTGATTTATGTACACTCTGTCTACCCGTGTGCTTACTACCTAGATCTGCTACATTTTGGTGTTTGAGTATACATATTTCTCTGCTGACTGCTGACTGAGCTCGGCGTTCTTCTCTTTGTTCTGGCGTCATGAACAACATTTCCACCTCTTCAAGCGTCAATATTTTTCATTTTTGTACTCAAACCATAATGTTGACTAAAATACCCGAACCACTTCGATGAGACATAATAACATCACGGTGGCCGATAATCTGTCAGCATTATTCAAACAAACATCCCTAGAGAAAATGAAGTGGCCGTTGAAATATTTTCTTCTAAAGTAAAGCACATATTGTGACGTCATACAATTTTACACATGGGAAGTCTAAGCATTGTGACGCGATGGACATGACGTCACAGTATATGGTTTGCTAGCGCCAAGCCGTGTTGATTAATGAATTTTACAATACACTCTCTAATTAGTTGATGGTCAAGTTTCCTACCTGAAATAAATTGCCCCACTTGCTGTGAATAATGTAGGAACCAAAACATATGTACCCCTTTGTACCCTTGATTTATGTACACTCTGTCTACCCGTGTTCTTACTACCTAGATTTGCTACATTTTGGTGTTTGAGTATACATATTTCTCTGCTGACTGCTGACTCTGAGCTCGGCGTTCTTCTCTTTGTTCTGGCGTCATGAACAACATTTCCACCTCTTCAAGCGTCTTCCCCTTCGTTTCCGGCACAAACACCAGCGTGAACAGCATCCCTAGGAAGCAGATGCCACCAAACAGCCAGAACGTGCCTGAAATATATCCCATACTAATGTAAAGCAGCAGTGTAGACTACCCAGCGACCATAGACGTAACTACACCCAAAAAGAATGCCTTTTCCTGTGCCTATCCTAACTGTAGCGATACATACACATCCCGACGCGATACAGATATGCCATGCTGTTTAATACTGTACTACATCTACGCCTTGACGCCATATAGACATGCCATGCTGTTTAATACTGTACTAGATCTACGCCTTGACACCATAAAGATATGTCATGCTGTTTAATACTGTACTAGAGATACGCCTTGACGCCATAGAGATATGCCACGCTGTTTAATACTGTACTAGATCTACGCCTTGACGCCTTAGAGACATGCCATGCTGTTTAATACTGTACTAGAGGTACGCCTTGACGCCATAGAGATATGCCATGCTGTTTAATACTGTACTAGATCTACGCCTTGACGCCATACAGATGTGCCATGCTGTTTAATACTGTACTAGATCTATGCCTTGACGCCATAGAGATATGCCATGCTGTTTAATACTGTACTAGAGGTACGCCTTGACGCCATAGAGATATGCCATGCTGTTTAATACTGTACTAGATCTACGCCTTCACGCCATAGAGATATGCCATGCTGTTTAATACTGTACTACATCTACGCCTTGACACCATAGAGACATGCCATGCTGTTTAATACTGTACTAGATCTACGCCTTGACGCCACAGATGTATGTCATGAGGTTTAATACTGTACTAGAGATACGCATTGACGACATATGTATATATGCCATGCTGTTTAATACTGTACTAGATCTACGCCTGGACGCCATAGAGATATGCCATGCTGTTTAATACTGTACTAGATCTATGCCTTCACGCCATAGATATGCCATGCTGTTTAATAGTGTACTGGATCTACGCCTTGACGCCATAGAGATATGCCATGCTGTTCGATACTGTACTAGATCTACGCCTTGACGCCTTAGAGATATGCCATGCTGTTTAATACTGTACTAGAGATACGCCTTGACGCCTTAGAGATATGCCATGCTGTTTAATACTGTGCTAGATCTACGCCTTGACGCCTTAGAGATATGCCATGCTGTTTAATACTGTACTAGAGATACGCCTTGACGCGATAGAGATATGCAACGTTGCTTAATACTGTACTAGATCTACGCCTTGACGCGATAGAGATATGCCACGCTGTTTAATACTGTACTAGATCTACGCCTTGACGCGATAGAGATATGCCACGCTGTTTAATACTGTACTAGATCTACGCCTTGACGCGATAGAGATATGCCACGCTGTTTAATACTGTACTAGAGATACGCCTTGACGCGATAGAGATATGCCATGCTGTTTAATACTGTACTAGATCTACGCCTTGACGCGATAGAGATATGCCATGCTGTTTAATACTGTACTAGATCTACGCCTTGACGCCATACAGATATGCCATGCTGTTAAATACTGTACTAGAGATACGCCTTGACGCGATAGAGATATGCCATGCTGTTTAATACTGTACTAGAGATACGCCTTGACGCCATAGAGATATGCCATGCTGTTTAATACTGTACTACATCTACGCCTTGACGCCTTAGAGATGTGTCATGCTGTTTAATACTGTACTAGATCTACGCTTTGACGCCATAGAGATATGCCATGCTGTTTAATACTGTACTAGATCTACGCCTTGACGCCATACAGATATGCCATGCTGTTAAATACTGTACTAGAGATACGCCTTGACGCGATAGAGATATGCCATGCTGTTTAATACTGTACTAGAGATACGCCTTGACGCCATAGAGATATGCCATGCTGTTTAATACTGTACTACATCTACGCCTTGACGCGATAGAGATGTGTCATGCTGTTTAATACTGTACTAGATCTACGCTTTGACGCCATAGAGATATGCCATGCTGTTTAATACTGTACTAGAGATACGCCTTGACCCCATAGAGATATGCCACGCTGTTTAATACTGTACTAGAGATACGCCTTGACGCCATAGAGATATGCCACGCTGTCTAATACTGTACTAGATCTACGCCTTGACGCGATAGAGATATGCCATGCTGTTTAATACTGTACTAGAGATACGCCTTGACGCCATAGAGATATGTCATGCTGTTTAATACTGTACTAGATCTATGCCTTGACGCCATACAGATATGCCATGCTGTTTAATAGTGTACTTGATCTACGCCTTGACGCCACAGATGTATGTCATGAGGTTTAATACTGTACTAGAGATACGCCTTGACGCCTTAGAGATATGCCATGCTGTTTAATACTGTACTAGAGATACGCCTTGACGCCATAGAGATATGTCATGCTGTTTAATACTGTACTAGATCTATGCCTTGACGCCATACAGATATGCCATGCTGTTTAATAGTGTACTTGATCTACGCCTTGACGCCATAGAGATATGCCATGCTGTTCGATACTGTACTAGATCTACGCCTTGACGCCTTAGAGATATGCCATGCTGTTTAATACTGTACTAGAGATACGCCTTGACGCCATAGAGATATGCCATGATGTTCGATCCTGTACTAGATCTATTCCTTGACGCCTTAGAGATATGCCATGCTGTTTAATACTGTACTAGAGATACGCCTTGACGCCATAGAGATATGCCATGCTGTTTAATACTGTACTAGAGATACGCCTTGACACCATAGAGATATGCCATGCTGTTTAATACTGTACTAGATCTACGCCTTGACGCCATAGAGATATGCCATGCTGTTTAATACTGTACTAGAGGTACGCCTTGACGCCATAGAGATATGCCATGCTGTTTAATACTGTACTAGATCTACGCCTTGACGCCATAGAGATATGCCATGCTGTTTAATACTGTACTAGAGATACGCCTTGACCCCATAGAGATATGCCACGCTGTTTAATACTGTACTAGAGATACGCCTTGACGCCTTAGAGATATGCCATGCTGTTTAATACTGTACTAGAGATACGCCTTGACGCCATAGAGATATGTCATGCTGTTTAATACTGTACTAGAGATACGCCTTGACGCAATAGAGATATGTCATGCTGTTTAATACTGTACTAGATCTATGCCTTGACGCCATACAGATATGCCATGCTGTTTAATAGTGTACTTGATCTACGCCTTGACGCCATAGAGATATGCCATGCTGTTTAATACTGTACTAGAGATACGCCTTGACGCCATAGAGATATGCCATGCTGTTCGATACTGTACTAGATCTACGCCTTGACGCCTTAGAGATATGCCATGCTGTTTAATACTGTACTAGATCTACGCCTTGACGCCATAGAGATATGCCAAGCTGTTCGATACTGTACTAGATCTACGCCTTGACGCCTTAGAGTTATGCCATGCTGTTTAATACTGTACTAGAGATACGCCTTGACGCCATAGAGAAATGCCACGCTGTTTAATACTGTACTAGAGATACGCCTTGACACCATAGAGATATGCCATGCTGTTTAATACTGTACTAGATCTACGCCTTGACGCCTTAGAGATATGCCATGCTGTTTAATACTGCACTAGAGATACGCCTTGACGCGATAGAGATATGCCACGCTGTTTAATACTGTACTAGATCTACGCCTTGACGCCATAGAGATATGCCATGCTGTTTAATACTGTACTAGAGATACGCCTTGACGCGATAGAGATATGCCATGCTGTTTAATACTTCACTGGAGATACGCCTTGACGCCTTAGAGATATGCCATGCTGTTTAATACTGTACTAGAGATACGCCTTGACGCCATAGAGATATGCCATGCTGTTTAATACTGTACTAGAGATACGCCTTGACGCGATAGAGATATGCCATGCCGTTTAATACTGTACTAGAGATACGCCTTGACGCCATAGAGATGTGCCATGCTGTTTAATACTGTACTAGAGATACGCCTTGACGCGATAGAGATATGCCATGCTGTTTAATACTGTACTAGAGATACGCCTTGACGCGATAGAGATATGCCACGCTATTTAATACTGTACTAGAGATACGCCTTGACGCAATAGAGATGTGCCATGCTGTTTAATACTGTACCAGAGATACGCCTATACGCCATAGAGATATGCCATGCTGTTTAATACTGTACTAGATCTATGCCTTGACGCCATAGAGATATGTCATGCTGTTTAATACTGTACTAAGACTATGCCTTGACGCCATAGAGGTATGTCATGAAGTTTAATACTGTACTAGAGATACGCATTGACGCGATAGAGATATGTCATGAAGTTTAATACTGTACTAGAGATACGCCTTGACGCCATAGAGATATGCCATGCTGTTTAATACTGTACTAGAGATACGCCTTGACGCCATAGAGATATGCCATGCTGTTTAATACTGTACTAGATCTACGCCTTGACGCCATAGAGATATGCCATGCTGTTTAATACTGTACTAGAGGTACGCCTTGACGCCATAGAGATATGCCATGCTGTTTAATACTGTACTAGAGAAAAGCCTTGACGCCATAGAGACATGCCATGCTGTTTAATACTGTACTAGATCTACGCCTTGACGCCATAGAGATATGCCATGCTGTTTAATACTGTACTAGAGATACGCCTTGACGCCATAGAGACATGCCATGCTGTTTAATACTGTACTAGATCTACGCCTTGACGCCATAGAGATACGCCATGCTGTTTAATACTGTACTAGAGATACGCCTTGACGCGATAGAGATATGCCATGCTGTTTAATACTGTACTAGAGGTACGCCTTTACGCCATAGAGATATGCCACGCTGTTTAATACTGTACTAGAGGTACGCCTTGACGCCATAGAGATATGCCATGCTGTTTAATACTGTACTAGAGGTACGCCTTTACGCCATAGAGATATGCCACGCTGTTTAATACTGTACTAGATCTACGCCTTGACGCCATAGAGATATGCCATGCTGTTTAACACTGTACTAGAGGTACACCTTGACGCCATAGAGATATTCTATGAAGTAACATACTGTACTAGAGATACGCCTTTACGCCATATCCATATGTCATGATGTTAAATACTGGACTAGATATACGCTTTAACGCCATAGAGATATTCTATGAAGTTTAATACTGTTCACGATATACGCCTTGACGCCATAGGGATATGCCATGCTGTTTAATAATGTACAAGAGATACGCATTGACGCCATCGAGATATGACATGATGTTTAATACTGCACTGAAGATACGCATGGACGCCATACAGATATGCCATCCTGTTTAATACTGCACTAGATAGATGCCTTGACGCCATAGAGACATGATATGAAGTTTAATACTGTACTAGAGATTCTAATTGACGCCAGAGAGACATGTCATTTTATACTGTACCAGTGATACGCCTTGACGCCATAGATATATGTCATAAACTTTAATACTGCACAAGAGATACGCCTTGACGTCATAGATAAATATCATGAAGTTTAATACTGTACTAGAGATACTAATTGACGCCAGAGAGACATGCCATTTTATACTGTACCAGTGATACGCCTTGACGTCATAGAGATATATCATGAAGTTAATACTGTACTAGAGGATACGACTTGACGTCATAGCGATATGTCATGCTGTTTAATACTGCACTGGAGATACGCTTATGATGTGTGTTAATCCAATTTTATAATGGTAGCCCCCGAGATACATGCCTTAGCAAGTATATCAGGTAACAACAAGTACCATATTTTAACGTGTTTTGGTATGACCAGGTGATCGAATTTCCAAAGCTCAAAATGCAACCGACATGTATTCAATGGAGGTCACTTGCATGCACCATGGCTATAACGTGGAAGGTGTGTGGGCTTACCGTATTTTGTTATAGTTTCCGTGAGTGTGAGGAAGGTGAAGGACACTATGAGATTACAGACCCAGTTTACAGCTGTCGTCATGGCAATGCAGGTTCCACGTGCCCAGAGGGGAAATATTTCTGAATTTATTGTCCAAGGCATTGGTCCTAAACCTAGAAAAAAACAGTTTTAAAACTCAATACATATACGCTACGCGCATATCCCATTGCCAGTAAAATATGACAGTTGACATATTTTGATACACTATTCGAGCCATTGTTGAAGAGTACTGAAATAATGTTTATATCAATCAGAATTCCCTGACACAACAAACCTTAACACAACAACGTTACACAAGGCCATGACAAAACGACCCACAACAACTCCCCAATAAAAAGGTCATGGCACAACGTCATAACAAAACACCTTAACACAACGCAATGACACAAAAATCTGTTACAACGCCATGCAACAACGTGCGAGCACACTGCCATTACACCAGGACATGGCATAACGCCCTGGCATAAAGGTCTGGCACAACGCTCAACCACAACATTCTCACGCTGCAGCCTTACACACAAATCCGACACAATGTCATGACACAACTGCCCTGAAAAAAGAAAAGCTTGCCCAGATACAACACCCTGACACAGGACCTTGATACAATGCCCCGATACAACACTCTGACACAAGACTTTGACACAATTCCCCGATACAACACCCTGACACAAGACCTTGATACAATGCCCCGATACAACACTCTGACACAAGACCTTGATACAATGCCCCGATACAACACCCTGACACAAGACTTTGAAACAATGCTCCGATACAACACCCTGACACAAGACCTTGATACAATGCCCCGATACAACACCCTCACTCAATACCTTGATACAATGCCCCGATACAACACCCTGACACAAGACCTTGATACCATGCCCCGATACAGCACTCTGACACAAGACCTTGATACAATGCCCCGATACAACACCCTGACACAAGACCTTGATACCATGCCCCGATACAACACCCTGACACAAGACCTTGATACAATGCTCCGATACAACACCCTGACACAAGACCTTGATACCATGCCCCGATACAACACCCTGACTCAAGACCTTGATACAATGCCCCGATACAACACCCTGACACAAGACCTTGACAGGATGCCCCGATACAACACTCTGACACAAGACCTTGATACAATGCCCCGATACAACACCCTGACACAAGACCTTGATACAATGCCCCGATACAACACCCTCACTCACTACCTTGATACAATGCCCCGATACAACACCCTGACACAAGACCTTGATACCATGCCCCGATACAGCACTCTGACACAAGACCTTGATACAATGCCCCGATACAACACCCTGACACAAGACCTTGATACCATGCCCCGATACAACACCCTGACACAAGACCTTGATACAATGCCCCGATACAACACCCTGACTCATGACCTTGATACAATGGCCCGATACAACACCCTGACTCAAAACCTTGACACAATGCTCCGATCCGACGACCAGACTCAACGCACGGTCACCATGCCCCGATACAACACCCTGACACAAGACCTTGATAAAATGCCCCTATACAACACCCTGACACAAGACCTTGACAGGATGCCCCGATACAACACCCTGACTCAAGACCTTGACACAATGCTCCGATCCGACGACCAGACTCAACCCACGGTCACCATGCCCCGATACAACATTCTGACACAAGACCTTGACAGGATGCCCCGATACAACACCCTGACACAAGACCTTGACAGGATGCCCCGATACAACACCCTGACTCAAGACCTTGATACAATGCGCCGATACAACACCCTGACACAAGACCTTGATACAATGCCCCGATACAACACTCTGACACAAGACCTTGACAGGATGCCCCGATACAACACCCTGACGCAAGACCTTGATACAATGCCCCGATACAACACCCTGACACAAGACCATGATACAATGCCCCGATACAACACCCTGACACAAGACCTTGATACAATGCTCCGATACAACACTCTGACTCAAGACCTCGAAACAATGCCCCGATACAACACTCTGACACAAGACCTTGATACAATGCGCCGATACAACACCCTGACACAAGACCTTGATACAATGCTCCGATACAACACCCTGACACAAGACCTTGATACCATGCCCCGATACAACACCCTGACACAAGACCTTGATACAATGCCCCGATACAACACCCTGACACAAGACCTTGATACGATGCCCCGATACAACACCCTGACTCAAGACCTTGATACAATGCCCCGATAAAACACTCTGACACAAGACCTTGACACAATGCACCGATACAACACCCTGACTCAACCCACGGTCACAATGCCCCGATACAACACCCTGACACAAGACCTTGATACAATGCGCCGATACAACACCCTGACACAAGACCTTGATACAATGCCCCGATACAACACCCTGACACAAGACCTTGACAGGATGCCCCGATACAACACCCTGACTCAAGACCTTGACACAATGCCCCGATACAACACCCTGACACAAGACCTTGACACAATGCTCCGATCCAACGCCCAGACTCAACGCACGGTCACCATGCCCCGATACAACACCCTGACACAAGACCCTGACACAATGCCCCGATACAACACCCTGACATAAGACCTTGATACAATGCCCCGATACAACACCCTGACATAAGACCTTGATACAATGCCCCGATACAACACCCTGACACAAGACCTTGACACAATGGTCCGATCCAACGCCCAGACTCAACCCACGTTCACCATACCCTGATACAACGCATTGACACAACTTCTCACACAACACGCTCATACTACACCTTGAAGCAGCGTTATGACACCACGCCCTGCTCAACCTCAATACACAATGCCCTTTCACAACGTTTCGACAGAACGCCCTGACATAAGACATTGACGTAACGTGCTGACACAACATCCCGATTAAGCAATACTAGCACAAAGTCGTGGCATAAACCCCTGACAGAACTCGCTGTCACAACGCCGTGATATATCGCTGTCATAAAACGCGCTGACCTGGAGCAAATCCAAGCAAAAAGAGAGTCAGCCCGAGGATTGCCATCCAGGCGTAGTCTGTGGGGCAGTAGCCGACGGCGTAGGTGAAGTCGCTGTTGTCGGTGTCGTTACACCGACCATACTCGGAATCAATTTCCTTCCGTTTCTCTATTTGAGACGGTGCAAGGCAGCTGCCACCTGAGTCTGCTGAGTCTGCGTGAAAACAATAACCACACTTCTTGTTGTTGATACAGCCCTCGCAGAGACTGTGGAATAGAGAACAGATAGGATATAATACAGGCATCATAGGGACTGGCGGTCATACTAACCAAGCATTTATTTAGTAACCAAAAATGAAGGTTAAACCTGGTCCAGCGAGTAATAGGCATAACATTCAACATATTTTTAAATGAAAATACCGTGCCCTTCCATGACGCCGCGTTTAACAGTCGTTCAGTCCAGGTTACCAATTTAATAAAACGCACGATCCAGATATGATGACCAGGGCCCATTGCACAAAGCGATCTTAGCGCTAAGACTATCGTAAGCCTATGTTAAAGTATATGAGTTACGATCATCTTATCGCTTAGATCGCTTTGTGCAAGTGGGCCCTGGGCGATGAAGAAGGGATGTAGCAGATGAAGACAGCACCTGTATGTCGCGCACTTGTCCTGTATCACTGTTCCATTGTCCATCAACTCTGTTGTGTTCTTGCTGATGGTAGGGGTGTAGACCGCGGACAACTGGAAGCCCACTGCCAGCACGATCAGGGCGATCACCACAGCTGAAGCGGCAACACAACTCAGATAAATTATATGTGTTCGGGCTATATAACTTTCACAGTGTGGGTGTAAGTTTGACGCTGCTTTCAAGAGTATTGCATGTCCTTAAAAGACAGGAGCGGGTAGTAAGTTTCAGATTATTGTCTGAACTTATTAGAGGGTCTCCCTGTAATATCTTTCTATTTCCTGTTCTTATTTTATCATTTTTGTAACTGTTTATTTTATAAACAAGTATATGTATATATATGAATGCGCGCACGTGTGTGTGTGCGTTCGTGAGTGCGCACGTGTGTGCTTGTGTGTGTGTTTTGTGTGTGTGTGTTGTGTGTGTGTGTGTGTGTGTGTGTGTGTGTGTGTGTGTGTGTGTGTGTGTGTGTGTGTGTGTGTGTGTGTGTGTGTGTGTGTGTGTGTGTGTGTGTGTGTGTGTGTGTGTGTGTGTGTGTGTGTGTGTGTGTGTGTGCGTGCGTAGTATGTGTGTATATGTGTGGGTGGGGGGTGGGGGATAGGTGTATGTCTGTGTGATGTGTGCGTGTGTGCGTAGTATTGGTGTATGCGTGCGCGTGGTGTGGGGGTGTATGTCGGGGGATGGGGGTGTTGGGGTGCATGTGTGGGTGTGGGGTGAGTATGGGTGTGTCTGCGTGGTGTGGGTGTATGAGTGTGTGTGCGTGCGTGCTAGCGTGCGTGCGTGTGTGTGTGTTATTTAGTGTGATAATTAAGCAGGTGTATAATACATTTATCGTGAGGGGTCATCGAACTTTTCATCATATCGACGTTGGGTATTTTTAGGACTGATTTGGACGTATTGTTCTTTCGTATTGTTTGGAAAGTTGCTTCATGTTTCAGAGACAAAACAGAACCCTGTGTATGTTTCACCTGCGAAGCTGGCCACTGTCAGGATCTTCCTCCCGAGTTTCTCCACCAGCCAAATACCGATGAAGGTGGCCAGAAAGTTGACTGTGTTCGGCACCATGACCAGCCAGATGGCGAACTTGGACGGGAACCCTGCCATCTTGATAATAGAACCGCTGTAGTAGCTGCAACACCATCACAACCCATATGGTCAACCCATTCATCGTCAGAGTCTATGTGTGTTCATTTAACTCGAGGGGGCACGGGTTGCCCAGTCGTCTGAGGCGCCGCGATTCGCTGTGCAGAGTTGCGTCCCTTGGGCACGCCAGAAACCTACGGTTGTGGGTTCGAATCCCGGTTCACCCCGATTATGTTTCTAGGTTTGTCAGCATCATACCCGTGCTCGTGGGTATCACCGAAGTGGTAAACGTCTGAGACCTGCATCACTTCGGGCTTTCCTCCCACATTAAGCTGACACGCCGTGATATATCTGGAATACTGTTAAAAGCGGCGTTAAACCCAACTCACTCACTCACTCACTCATTTAACTCGACGTATTAGAAACCATGTTAAATGCCAAACATAACTCGTATATATTACTCTATGTTGTTCGATTGTCATGGATATATTCCCCGAGGCAGAAAAAATGGAAGATATGGAAGAGGGTATATAGGTGTCATAATGTTTCTCTTTCCTTTTCGTAAATGGAGGTTGCATACTGCAGACAGATCACGACGGGGTACAGCAATTATTTCCTTCCGCATGGTACGTGTGGAAGAAAGTGAATCATGAGCATGCTCTTGGTGAACTTATTTACGTACCTAATACGACCACTGAAGATCTGGGGTAGGATAGATCTTCAGCAACCCATGCTTGCCGTAGAAGGTGCCTATTACGTTGATCGATGCTCATGATGTCAGTCACTGGATTGTCTGGTCCAGACTCGATTATTTACAAATCGCCGTCATGTAGCTGGAATATTGCTGAATGTGGCGTTAAACAATAAACAAACGTCCTAATACAGCGCTATTGTTCAACTCACATGACAGTGTTGATGCCACACAGCTGCTGGAAAAGCTGCAGTCCGCCGCCGATAAACAACGCCTTCCGAACGTGAGGGGTTTTGAAGATCCGAGCCAGCGCGCTGCCTGCAAGGAAAAAGATAATGTTCATCCTATTCATCACCTTACCTCTAGGAGTTACTGTTCATCTACCCTATCCACTCAACTGCAGTGGGGACCTTCTTGCTCATCTAACCACAGGGAAAGACTTTCCTCTCCATCCTATCAGTACCCTCATCTCATGAAGATATCGTTTGTCCAACTATCGTATCCTCTACCCTCACCTCAAGGAACGGTCATCCTGCTTACCCAGCTTATCCTCTATCCTCACAGGAGAGATCGTCCTGACCAGCCTATCCTCTACCCTCACATCCAGGAGAGATCGTCCTGAGCAGCCTATCCTCTACCCTCACCTCCAGGAGAGATCATCCTGACCAGCCTATGCTCTACCCTCACCTCCAGAAGAGATCGTCCTGACCAGCCTATCCTCTATCCTCACAGGAGAGATCGTCCTGACCAGCCTATCCTCTATCCCCACAGGAGAGATCGTCCTGCCCATCCAGCCTATCCTCTATCCTCACCTCCAGGAGATATCGTCCTGAGCAGCCTATCCTCTACCCTCACCTCCAGGAGAGATCATCCTGCCCATCCAGCCTATCCTCTATCCTCACAGGAGAGATCGTCCTTACCAGCCTATCCTCTATCCTCACAGGAGAGATCGTCCTGACCAGCCTATCCTCTATCCTCACAGGAGAGATCGTCCTGCCCATCCAGCCTATCCTCTATCCTCACCTCCAGGAGAGATCGTCCTGAGCAGCCTATCCTCTACCCTCACCTCCAGGAGAGATCGTCCTGACCAGCCTATCCTCTACCCTCACATCCAGGAGAGATCGTCCTGAGCAGCCTATCCTCTACCCTCACCTCCAGGAGAGATCGTCCTGACCAGCCTATCCTCTACCCTCACCTCCAGGAGAAATCGTCCTGACCAGCCTATCCTCTACCCTCACCTCCAGGAGAGATCGTCCTTATCAGCCTAACCTCTACCCTCACCTCCAGGAGAGATCGTCCTTATCAGCCTAACCTCTACCCTCACCTCCAGGAGAGATCGTCCTTATCAGCCTATCCTCTACCCTCACCTCCAGGAGAGATCGTCCTTATCAGCCTAACCTCTACCCTCACCTCCAGGAGAGATCGTCCTTATCAGCCTATCCTCTACCTCACCTCCAGGAGAGATCGTCCTTATCAGCCTATCCTCTACCCTCACCTCCAGGAGAGATCGTCCTGACCAGCCTATCCTCTACCCTCACCTCCAGGAGAGATCGTCCTGCCCATCCAGCCTATCCTCTACCCTCACCTCCAGGAGAGATCGTCCTTATCAGCCTATCCTCTACCCTCACCTCCAGGAGAGATCGTCCTTATCAGCCTAACCTCTACCCTCACCTCCAGGAGAGATCGTCCTTATCAGCCTATCCTCTACCTCACCTCCAGGAGAGATCGTCCTTATCAGCCTATCCTCTACCCTCACCTCCAGGAGAGATCGTCCTGACCAGCCTATCCTCTACCCTCACCTCCAGGAGAGATCGTCCTGCCCATCCAGCCTATCCTCTACCCTCACCTCCAGGAGAGATCGTCCTTATCAGCCTATCCTCTACCCTCACCTCCAGGAGAGATCGTCCTGCCCATCCAGCCTATCCTCTCTCATCGCCTCCCGGAGAGTTCTTCCCGCCAATCTATCTTACCTCTACCCTCTAGTCTCTATTCTCACCTCCAGGAGAGTTCCTCCTATCCATCTCGATGTTGTCCTGAATCTCCTGCAGTTCCATTTGAACGTTGTCCGTGCTCCGGATCTTCTGTAGCACCTTCCTTGCCTCGTCTATTCGGCCCTTGTCCACAAGCCAGCGGGGGGATTCGGGGAGGAAGAAGAAACCAACAAACTGGATCACCCCCGGGACTCCAGCCAGCCCAAGCATGTAGCTGTGGAATATATTAAATAATAATTAAACGCGACAAATACTATTTCCATAATCATAAGAAATCACCATTGCACAATTCCGACTACATTATGAGCACGTGTTTGTGAATCACTAGCAACATAGTGATGATACCACGTGTTCATGAAAAGGTGAGCGTATACTGCCCCACCTGTGGCATCCGTCACTTATTAATGGTAATGGTATAATTGGACCGTCAATTATATGAATTTTATTTGCTATTCTACCTAAAGTGTGGATAGTGGGGGATACTTTAAAATATTTGGGGAGGACAATGATTTCTCTTGCTGACATTCATTTTGGATGTTTTATTTTTTTTTTCAACCTGCATTGTTTTTTTGTTTGTTGTTTAACGACGAACTCGGCAATATTCCAGATATATGGATATTGTGAACAACTATCCACGCCGTTGGGATACAACGACACGCCATGACGCAAGGCACCGAGCCTGACCACACGATTCATTTGGTCGCCTCTTACGAACAGCATAAGATGCTGAGGACCAGTTTTAAGCCGGAATCCCCGCGATCAACCTGCATTTAATTTAGCAAAACACGCAGCACTCCCACGGTGGACGTACCGCCATCCCTCTGGTTTGAGGAAGCTGAAGGCGCCAGCGACGAGGGCGGAGACGACGATGCCAATGGTGATGAAGAGCTGGTTCAGGGTGACAAGACGTCCCCGGATGGTGGGAGGGGCAGCCTCGGCGACGTACACTGGCACCGTCATAGACGCAAACCCTAAAAGCAAGAAATAATATTGTTACTCTCTTGCTACTCAGTATGGCCGATGACAACAATTGGACGGAACTTTGTGGGTCGTTGACTGAAAGCCCCAGTACATCAGTGGCAAACTGTCATCGCTAGTAGGACGCTTAAATTCCACCTCCAGGGTGTCTCATCGTTTTTCGGTAACTTGCATCTCTATTTCCTTGTTATTGAAGTGACAGCACGTGGAGTGTTTACTGTTTAATTATAATTTGTTTCGCCTACACCCATCAGTAAAATGCTTTTAATATTTAGTATTGAGTATAACCAATACCTTAGGCGGTCTCATCTGACTTCAAAGTTATTACATTGTGGTCATTTCTGACACAGTACTCAGTACATATTGTGACCACATCTGACTGTAGTCAGTATATGGTGGTCACATCTGACTGTAGTTTGTAAATGGTGGACAATGCAGTCGACGTTATATGTGACAACCCTTTACAATAGTATGTGAAAAACATTCACGCCATCAGAACAAGCTACGCAACACTGGTGAAAGGATAACTTGGACCTCAGTTATACGAATGTCCCCGCAATGACATTAGTTATCAATCATGCATTTAGATGTCTCTCTCGGTGTTCGATGTTTCTGTTGTGACAGACAGCTGGCCCAAATCGCAGGCGATGCCGAATACATTGGTCATAAAGACAGCACATTCGGACAGAATGTGATATATGTGTATGATATTGGCATTGCCACCACAGTAGTTAGAAAGCTTAATTCTGGTATGAATGAATATCAATATAAGCAATAGGTGACCTTGTCAACAAACTTCCTGTCTGCTGAGCAATATTTAATGACATCGTCATCGACGCGCGCCCTTTGTGAACGTAAAACCAGACCAGGATCACAGTGTCGTAATGCCACGGCTGGGTTTCAACGTCGTTGTGAATTGATTCTTACCAATCTCGTCGCTCTTTGCTGTAACGAGAGAACCTAAGAGAAGACATGAGTAGATTAAGCTCAGGCTATTACTGCCATGTTACAAGCCAAAGAAGTGTGGAAGGTGCGTCATCCGTCAATGAATAAAGGAAGTACTTTCAGAAGACAGGGAACGCGAGGGCATATCTGGAAACTATTGCAAGCGTGATGGTTAGATAAGGTCTGACTTCCTTTTTTTCTAATATTGCACAACTACATATATAATCATTTTGTGTGAGATATGTATGAGGAAGTCCGAAAGTAAAATTAACACATCTTCAAATTCGAACACAACATGGGGATTTTTTTCAACACAAGACCAGAACGCCAGGATCCCTGTGACAATATGACAACAGGTATTCGCATCATTTGTGAAAATACCTTGCCCTGACACCAGGTATTCGCTCCTGTGAGCATTCACAATCCGTGACACCAGGTGTTGGCCAGTGAAGGACATCCCGTAGAGCAAAGGTCTCATACCAAAAGATGTTAAAAGATCGTATATTTTGTTACCCTGTCTGGCGTTTGGCTAGGAGTCACGAGGTGTCTGTGTGGGGGAATCTGTTAAACTGCAGCAGGGTATATAAAAAGGTCTAGCACCATAACACTGGCATCATCCTGGACAAGTACAAGAAGAGACACACATGCACGCACACACACACACGCGCACACACACACACACACACACACACACACACACACACACACACACACACACACACACACACACACACACACACACACACACACACACACATGTTAAAGCACATCGCTACACAAGTTCAATGCTCATGAATGTGGCGTTTTCCTCATTTCATTTGCACTTTTGCCAAACCCCGACACAACGTGTCTATGAGAATAGGGATATCTTGCTACCAAACATAACAAAAATCTCCTTCGTCCATTACATCTGGTACGATGCCAAATATCCTAATGGCTGCCATGGCTACTGAAGAGAACAGGACTTGACTCAGCAAACCTGAAGACCTTCAGACCAGTATTCAATGTGTAATATATATCGAAGCTTGTAGACGAAGGTGTTTGTCATCCTCTCTTAGCACATCTTGAAAAATACAATCTCTGCAGTAGCCTCTGCAATCAGCCTACAGGGCCCATAATGGCACAGAAACCGCCCTGCTCAAAGCCATTAACAATCTACGACGTGGTGTTGATAATGGTAATGTTGCCCTTTTACTTCTTCTGGACCTCAGCTTAGCCTTTGACACCATTCACCATGAGGAGAAAATTTAATGAAGTTGGCCTCAGAGGATCTGCACTAAACTGGGTGAAATCCTGTCTGACAAAGAGTACCATCCGCTCCTATTCACCTTGATTGTGGAGTCCCACAAGGATTGGTCCTCAGTCCAACCCTCTTTACTCTCTATGCAAAACTCATTGGTAACAACACCCAGAAACAAAGTCTATTGCATCATCTATTCAACGACACTCCTCAAGTTCTTCAAGCCTGATCCTTCAACATCTATTGACTCAGTAACTGTCTGACTCCTGTCAGTACTCTAAGGCATGGATGTCTCTCAACAAACTAAGGCTAAATGACGAGAAGAATGAATTGTAATTAGTCCTGCAAGAAGACTCAACAAGTGTGACCTTGAGATAGTTAATATTGGAGAATTATCAATTCCAATTTCCTCCAGTAGAAAGGACCTTGTGTTATCCTAGATTCTGACCTCAAGCTACTCAAACAGTTCAGTCAGCTGTCAAATATGTCACTTGCATCTGCGTAACATTGGCAACATCAGACCCTGCCTGACAAAACACAAAACTATTGAGTCTTTCCCAAATCATCTCGAGGATCGACTATTTGCAAAAGTCTACTTGCCGTAGTTCTCCTGAAAGTCAATAGACTACTATCCATCCCGAACAAAGCAGCGCGATTTGTTCCACTCAGTGACACTATGAAACAGCTCCATCATGTCTCCGTGACCTTCCTCCACCCAACCTCCGGATCTCTCCGTTCAGAATCACAACGTCTTGTGTCTAATTTTAACGTAGCAGTTATGGACAGAGATCTTTCTCCAATGAAGCAGCCAATCAGTGGAACAATCTTTCCTTGAACTTCGCAACTATTTAACCTACTCAGCCTTCAGAACTTGACTCCGCACCTGCCAAGCCTTTGACTAAACTTTGTTTTTTCTTTCTGCGCTTTGGGTATATTAAGCATATAAAAACGCCATACAAATGGACTTTATTATCATAATGTACAGATACAAATAAATAAATGCATCAAAGAGGGTTTGGATGATCCAGGCATAGTCAGACTGCTTAGGCTCATCATCAGCTCAGGGTCCTTGCCCCCTATGCACGCAGCCCAGACAGCGAATCGGACTTCTCCCAGGAACGCTGCCCAACCAGAGTCTGTATAAGGGCCTGTGCCAAAGAATTTTGCATTTATCATTTTCAATGACGCCCTCTACATATTCTGGGTCGGACCATGGGTGGACGTCCGCGACAAAACCACAGGCATGGCGAAGACGGTAATAAAAGGATCGAGCCACGCCCTCGTGTCGCTTGAGTAACAGTGTTTGTACATACCCTGGGCTTCCACTGACAATGTGTTGGACAGTCTCAATAAATTCATTGCATAATCTACATTTCATATTGACATTATGATGTGGGAAGTGACTGGTCCTGAGCAGCAAACAGAAAACCTTCACTTTCCTGGCCAGCCGACTTCATCCAAGCGAAGTGGGGTTGCTGTTCTTCTCAACACGCTGAACATAAACTCGATGCAGTGGTCGTTCAGATAGCCTCTCCCTGAAAAACTGAATCTGTTCTGATTTGATATGGCACTTCGCTTGGTTGACAAGACCATCAACAAAATCAGCATTGACATTGAGATTATGTCCAACATCCTTGGTCCCTTTAAGGAAACTGTGGACAGCTTTGTTTTCATCATGAGTCTTAAAATGCTTGACAAGAGGTCATCAGACAAGAAAGTGTGTGCAAATGTGCACAATACAATATCATGAAAAGCCTATACGTTAATCAAACCACGCGATTGAGGGCAGAGAGAGGTTGGTGAGGTTTTTGTCTGTCATGATTCTTCGTCTGAGGGTGTCGATACCCTGCATTTCTTGTTTCGTCCAATCAACAACACCAAAAGAATATGAAAGAATGGGTACCGTATAGGTATTTGTGGCTTTGGATATATTGCGAGCGTTAAGCTCTGAACTCTTTTCACGTCCTTATGTTGTCAAGAAGTGACTAATGCTGACACTGTAGTTGGACACTTTGATAATTGATGACACATTGAAGTGCAGCATAACCAACCTGTCAGAACTACACTCTCAAACTCGAGTAGTTGATATAGTTTGGGTAGTGTGGCCAGCTGTTATCAATAGTACATATAAAATAGCGCATAAGCGAAACGCCGATAATATTACACCGTCTACGCTTGTTCTGAAGAGGGTCGTTCTATCAAGTTTCGATTTATTTTCTACCGAATCTGTGACCGATCATAGTCCTAAGCGGACATGATATTTCCGAGTGTCCCCACAATACACTCGTTCAGACAAGAAACTGCCAAGGGTCTTCACGACTGCCAAGACAAGAGGCGAATAATAATTAGTACCATTTACATTTCGTTCAATGGAAAATTCATTCTCCAAATTATAGTTTTTCATGAGTATTTTCATGTGAACGATTGTTTTTATTTTCAAACATTTTCCGTTGTAATTTTTCGTTTGTTTGTTTCGCCCATAGGTGGACATAGCTTTATATACAAAAACGCCAGTGTTGAGTTTAGCTTGACTAGATTTGACCACGTGACGAAATCAGTAGACCACGCCCTCAAATAATCACATGACTGTGTTACGTCATGGGACTACATACACTGTAAATCTGTTGTCTCCAAGTTTCAAATTGAAAATATCTCATTCGAAATATTTAAATATCCTGAAATATCCTGAATATAAATTGGTCGTCATAAATAATATATCAAAATTATTTCACACGGATATTTCGCTCCTTTGGCCAAGTTGAGTTCAAAGGTAATGTGTCTCTATCGCGGCTGGTCACGTGACTTAAC